AGAAATAGCAATATAATAAAAAGTAAGACAGAGAGTGGCACAGGATATGAGACAGAAGATCCGTTGCAGTTTTGAACACAAGGAATTCAATTAGAGGCAAGCTTTTTGGATAACAAGACGAGAAGCAAGCTCAATCGCTGGAGATTCACATTAATCAGTTTTGTTTATTCTTAAAAGGGGTAGAACTGAAATTTTATTTGCATGTTAGCATTGGTCAACATGCAATGATGCAATGAACATTTATCAGAAATAGAGAGGCAAGAAGAAAACTGGTAAATGCCTGCTGGACGAAGCAAAGGGAAAAGACAATTATGAAATGGAAAAACTTCGAAAGCATTTCATGGGGCGGAAAACATCGTGCTGATCAATAGAGTGCATTTGCAGACCAAAACTTTAGCTGGAAGTTGGCTTTGGGTTTTCCGCAAGATTCAGAGGGTTCAGATTACAATTCAGATTCAAGAATCATATGGCCGAAGAAGTCAACCAACAATCAGAATATCTCTGAGACAGGAACTGCTTACACGTATATTGAGTAACGAGGAATTATGCATCAGATTCCTGTCTCTGCGCCTAAAATTTTGTGACCATCCATTGGCAACTGGTCATATTGCTCTCATTTTGCTCAAGTTACCAATATTGGATCTCTGTTTTTTCTTTGCTTTATCCATGGTTTGAATCTTCTAACTCAACTGGGGTCACAAAAGTTTATTTTCTTTTGGGATTTGGAAGAGGAGAATTGGTAATGAATATTCATTAATTGTCACGACCACTAAATTCGGGCAGAAAATTTTCGAACCAGTAACCCAATGTATACCATAAGTCAATCAAATCCCATCTTCGTATTTGATCTTTTTCTGCATTTTTTCATTTTGTATTTGACCACCACCAGGTGATTTGGTCTTTTGACTTTTGCGTAGACCGTAACATCACAGGCTATTTAGCTTCCTTTCATCTGACTCTAGCAGAGTTTAACGTGTATTGACCATAACCATGCTGCTAATTTAAGTTAATAACGTCAAATTCTTTATATGTATATATATATATATATATATATATATATATATATATATATATATATATATATTTCAAGGGCACCGATGAAGTGCAAGTTGGGTTGACCACAGATGAAGAAATTTAAGTCAAACGTTTTCTTTTTTCCTTTAACATGAAAAAATGAATGTCAACTCAAGAACTATTTCATCCTTATTCATCGGGGTGGAAGCCATTTTAACCCTTCTAGATTAGTATACATGTGACTTGGCAGGTTGAATCTTTCTGGTTCAGTGTCAATTACCGCCGTCAGTGTAAAACTAACTGTAATAGTCTACTGGAAATCTAGAAATGCCAGTTACTCGGAACTCTAGTCTTTAGCAGTTGTACAATTTCATGTTTTGCCTCTTTATCTTTATCCAATAATCATAGAGGAGGGTAATTCAAGTTTTAATAAGATTCAGAAGCAAAAATAAAAAAAAAACAAAAAAAAAACCGTAAGTTTTAGATAGTCAGTTTTAATATTGATTACATATCAGAAATTATGGGAGAAAATTAAGATACACTTCTTTTTTCAACCATGTCGCAACAAGATCGTCCGAATTTTTTTAGCAAAATTTTCTGGGGAAAATGATCAAAATAGTCTCCCACATTTTTTTAAAAAAACTTTTTTAATCCCTTACATATAATAAATGCATAAATTTGGTTTCAAAATCTATTTTTGCCCAAATTTCTAGTAAAAAATGCTCACTTAAGTCACATATTCGTACTTTTAGTAGGAAGAAGAATAATTTGTGCCTTTTTTTTTCGATATTTTAAGGTGTGCATTTTAAAAATTTTGAGGAGTTTTTTAAAGTTTCTGTATTTAAAGTTGTTAAAAATTAGTAGAAGAATAATTAGGCAAATATTCTCTTCAAAAAATCCATCCCATTGCCATTGTGGGAAGGAGAGTTGGGATGACTTTTTTAAGAAAATATTATTCTTGTTTTTATTTTGCGGTTGAAAGTATTGGACATGTATCTTTTGGCTATAAATTTGGTAGGAAATATGTTCTAGGATCAAATTGATATTTGTCATATGTGAAGAACCATTTTGCATGGTTTTACATGTAATGAACAAAAAGATAATTTTATTGAAATATGAGGGACTATTTTGATAATTTTTGCTATCTTTTTGAATGATTTCTACGATGAATCTATATCACGCGCAACCCATCAACCATTCTCAAATGATGTCAATGTCAATAACCTTTTATTAGTTTTCCTCCGCATGGGAAAAAAGACTGTCAGTAAATTTTAAGTAGCAACTCACTCAATAAGACAGTAGCAAGCAGGATTCGGTGCTTCTTTCTCTAGTTGAGGTTCTATGACTTGTATCTAATTTTTGCCTAGCTGTGTAAAATGGTATAATTTCAATATAAACTAATATATGTTTGGTACAATTATGAGTTTTACATCAATTTAATTATAATTCACATTTAGACCAAAATTATACCAATATACAATATTAAAATTCTATTAGTTTACACAACTGGACTGTGGACAGAACTGGAACTAGTCTCTTACGACGGGCGGTCCATTTTGTTGTATCCAGTTAAAACTAAACTTCTCCCCAGTTGGGGAAGTTTTGTCTGGCTTACCTTGTCAAAAAACTTGGTGATCCAAGGGAGAAGCTTCATTTGCATCCTTTCATAAGTCCAACCATTCGTGTATGATCGGTTTTGTGCTCCTACAGAGAGCGTTAATGGTTTCGGATCCCATTGCAAGTGTCTCTGAAGTTGGGCCAGATGGTCGATGGAATCTAATCGAGTTGAGCATGAGTGAAATGTCTTGTATAGCTCACAGCCTAATTAAATTTTAACTCTAATTTTTTTGTTTTTGACTCAAATGCAATTTTCGTTTAGAATTGAATACTACGAATACAACTAAATCGACTTGCAAATTAAAGATGTAATATTGGTGTGAAGTTTTATTAAACTTGACTAGTTTAAGCTATTATTCAATGTAGATAGGTTTATTATGCACACACGATAATATGTGTGAACAAATCTAAAATATATGAAACTCAATTAAGCTGAGTAGCTTGTGATTTGAGTATAGATGAATTAGTGGTCCCGAGTGAAAATCATGCAGAAGTTATTTTGATTGCTTGAGTTTGTACCTATTATGCTCTACTCCAAGTATCATTGCGTCCGTTTTAAGTGCGAATGATGGAATTGGTAGCCATTGATTTCGTCAATAAAGCAAGAAATTTATAGTAGTGTTTTTTGAGAAAAATATATTGTAGGGATATGATGTATACGAGGCAAGGAAGTGATTGAAAAATATGTTACGAAAAACTTGTAATCTAAACAAACCCATATACTCAAATCATATGTGAAATCTAACTTATTGCGGTCATAGTATTACATTCCTATTTTATCCAGTGACGGAGCCAGGATTTTTTTTTTGGGGGGGCCAAAATTGAAATTCCATTCAAAGATGATTAATTCATATATATATATATATATATATATATATATATATCAACTCTCATAATATAAACTAAAATTGAAAAAATTTAGGGGGGGCCAATTTTATTTTACACACATATTTACATATTATGAATTAAAATTCTCTAAACTTAGGGGGGGGGGGCCATGGCCCCCCTCTGCCCCCCTTGGCTCCGTCATTGATTTTATCACAACCCATCTAAAATGTTATACATTATTTTGATCTCTAGCTCAACCCCTTTGACACTTAACTGCAAATCCCCTGGCTCCATGAATGTTTACACTTTAGAAAAAAATCGAATAATCGACTAAATTAAGATCAGAGATTGGATGTAGTAAAACGGAATTTGAGAAAATCAATTAATATATAATCTTAAACTCTGGTAAAACAATGGATATTGAAATTTGATTCTCGAATTCCTAATTATCGACCGACTTACCAAATTTTATATTTCAATTATATATATATATATATACATACATACATACATATATATATATTTCATACCTATTAATATATTATAAGTCTGTCTAACGGATCCCTATTTAACAAGTGCCTAATAGGCACTAGTTAAGATATAATTTGAATGTCATATTTTTAAATGTAAATTAATTAATAAAAGTAAATAAGTAACGGGTGCCATTAGACACACGTTAAGATGTACTTCAAGTGTTAGATTTTTTAAAATATAAGATAAATTAGGAAAAGTGCATAAATGTAAAGGTGGGTAGTAATTGTTAATATGTGTATATACAAAGTAGATTAAATGAAATTTAGATGTGTTAATGTATACTCATTAGACATTCATTAGAAAAGTCATATAACTTTCTATCCTATACAAATAGGTGACTTTAAAGCGCATTAATTAACATATTGATAACTCCTATATTGTTAATTATATATTAAATTTACTTAACTAATCTACATAAAAAACCCAATTTAAAACTTTAGATATTACCAAAATAATGACTATTCAGCCGAAACCCATCAATATCCATATTATTATTAAATATCCTATACAAAATTGTGACTTTAAAAGCACATTAATTAACATATTAATAACTCTCATATTGTTAAATATTTATTAAATCTATTTAATTAATCTACATAAGAAAAGCCAATTTGAAAATTTAGATATTACCCAAATAATGACTATTCAGCCATAATCCGTTAATATCCAAATTATTATTAAATAAAAGTTTAGACAGTAATTAAATGTTGAGCTTGTTGAAAAAAAATTGAAAAAAAGCGAAATTTTTTATCGCGTTACCGACAGGCCGATGGAGACCCTCACCTGGTTTTACTCAATTTAAGGGCAACTAAAAGCTTGATTATAATTTATAACGGTGAGTTGACTCTTGATTGTAGTTCCTTTCCCTTAAAAAAAAAAAAAAAAAAAATTTTGATTGTAGACTTGTAGTTGGACCACTTGAAAAGGCGTGGTATAGGAGCCTTCATTTCTACGTCTTCCCGTCAACCAAACGGGGTCAAAACTCTTCACTTCCCTTCCTTGACGGTAAAACCCAGAACCGGAGTTGGAACGCCAAGAACTCTCGGATTCACACACTCGCTAGTGTCTTGCGAGCTAAATTTCCTGGATGGAGCTCGAGTTCAGACATAGAGATTATATAACAGAGGAAAAGGCTTACTCTCTCCCTCGTCTACCTGCAGGAACTCATCCTCTGTCCACTTCCCCTGAAACGCTTCACCAGGTCTTTTAAACATTTTTATCTTCCCCATCTTAAAGTTTGAAAAATCTTGAATTGAAATAAGAAGAATCTGCTAGAATTATGGTCCAAAATTGAATCTTTTATGTACTCTTAACTAAATTTATCTGGATACGATATGACAACACTGCTTGCTTGGACTCAAAAAGTGAGTTTCTGGTGGACTTCATTGAATGCCTGTGCCCAAAACGTTTAATCTCCCTATGTTTTCTGATTGTTTTTGAGGTTGTCTACTTCAATGTGCAAGTCGGAATATGGTTTTTAGGTTCTCTTGTTTTGTTTTGTTATGTTATTTAAGTGTGAATGATAAAATGGAAGACGATTTGGAGAGAAACGGGAAGCTCTATGAATTAATCATAGAGCGCGACTTCTTGTTGGTAATTATCGAAACAATTGAACATTTTAGTTGAAATTTTGTGGGATAGAATTAAAACGATCGGATTTGCCACCTTGTGTGATAGAATTAAAGGGATGGGATTTGCCACCTTTGAGAGTTTTTACGTCTCGCTAGGATAGGTGGTGATGCACAAATCAAGTTGGATTACCAAAGTCAAAGAAAGATTAGATAATGGCTTTTAGTAAATAATCCCCATCAATATGATCCATAATCAGTGCATAAAGAATAAGCTATGCTTAAGTTCAACAGCTTGTCAATTTCACATCTTCAATAAGGAATGTTGTCTTTTTTTTTCTTGTTCTAACCAAATCTGCTTAACATTTGTTTGATCCTTCGTATAAAATATGCTGATGGTACTTAGGAATCTGTTAAAGGTTGATTTGGTGCATAAGGAGAAGGAAGAAAATGATTTTTTTGATCCACTTAGCAAGATCAATGAGAAAAAGGAAGTTTCTTTTGAGGATTTTCAAGATGAAGAGATTACAGGAGGACCGTCCAATGAAGCTTCTGTCCAGTCTTCTTCCAAGGAATGGACTTCTTTTAAGAAAATCTTGATGCAGAGATTTTCTGCATCTAAGAATATCCCGTTATCTTCAGTAAGTCTTTTTTTTGGGGCTTTTTAAGCTTTAATTAAGAATGTAATTTTTGTATATGTTTGTTCATGTTTTCCTGTGGTATTTGTATTATTTAGGAACTAGTTCTATAAATTATTGTCTATAAGAATGGTAACTCTCCACAACTCATTGTAGTGTTGGAAGCTCAGCAAGAAATAACCCGGATCTTTTTTTATTAGGATCTTATGTTTGCAAACTCAGTATGACATGCTTGGATTTTCATGCATTTGTCTATGGTGAAACAACTGCATACAAACCTCACAGGTTTTGCATTATTAGACATCTGCGACTTAATTAGTCTTTCGAAATGCTGGATGAATTATAAACATCATATCTTGCTATCCTCAAGACCTATGAGACATAAGTTTTGTTTGCAGGGCTGTTATACCCTTCTAAAAGAATGGCAGATGTAGTCTCATCTACAGCTTAGGTACAATTTGTGTAATTTAAATGAAGAATATTAACTTAGTTAAAAAAGAGGAATATTGCCAATCCCCTACTCCGCCACTCCCATGTCATCTTAACAAGCATGATGCCATTTTGATCTTCTGCATAAGAGTTCTATTTCAATTGGTAAATGTTTATCGGCCACATTTTGCAGATTTCAAATGCAATTATGAAGACTGGAAAGGGTATGATGCATCTTGTATTGGCTTTTTTATTCTGTACCTAGAATAAGCTTATTGCTCCCAGGGGTAAGGCTGTTCAAAACCTAATTCTTCCAAGACCCTGCATTTATAGGAGTCGCAATTGCTTGGTAATCAGTTTTCTACCCCTTCCTTTTCTTTTGCTGGAGCTTAAGTGTCTCTATTGTTCCTGAAGGACCTTTGGATTGTAATGGCAAGGTAGCTTATCTTTATTAGCATTCAAATTTCTTTTAAACTTTGTGGTGTATAAATATTTTGCAGTAACTGACAAATCACCTGTGGATTCACATTTGGAAGAACTGGATGATCCTCAAAAATTTACAGAAGAAGGTCTTAAAGTTATAAGTCAGAGGGAATATGTTTTACGTTTATATGAACTCAAAGATGAGATTGCGCTTTCTTGGAGTAAAAAGGAGCATGTGACATCTTTGAAATTGTGCATCAGGGTGAGCTTTATTGTTTTGCAAATCGTTTTAGCCGTATTTGATGCTAATTTTTGTCAACTATTATCATAAAACTATAGGAAGTAGTGGAAGTTTTTATAACAACATTGAGGAAGTCTTTTGTCCTGTCATTCGAGAACTCAGACTACAGTTGCTTCAGTAAATGGGTGTGGTTTATATCCTCTGTTTATGCTAGCCTTTTCTTATTGGGGCTGACAAAAACAGCTGGAACAAGGGAAACAAAGCTGAAGCTTTATAGTAACAAAACTACTTTCCTGAAAGTAAAGATTATTTGCTCACCTTTCTTCGAGAAACTTTCTTTGGGCACTTGTTAAATGAGGATACCTGTCCTTTTTTTTTTTTTTTTGCTAATGTCTCTGGCACTTGATAAGTAATTTTAACCTGTACTGCAACATATTAACATGTAGAGTTATGACTAAATTGCTGTTAACTTGTAATGAACTAAGATCCGAAACTTCCTTGAGATCAAAGAGCGTTTTTGGCCTCTGCTTCGCTTAGATGATTTTGCGCCATGTTTACTTTGGCATCAACAAAAACAGTCAAGAAGTGGATAATAGGAGAGATATTGTTAGCTGTTGCCTTTTGAAATAGTATCTCTTCTTTCCAGGTTGCCAGACTTCTGATGGACACATCTGTTGTACAATTTTATCCAACACTATTCGTTCTAGCCACAGATGTGATGGATATGCTGGGTGATATGGTATGGCAACGAATTAGACAGAAAGCTGAGCACACGGAAGATAGAAAATTCGTTTCTTCTTTGCCAGGTTTAACCATGACACTTAGAATCCTGTCTCTTCTTCTCTTGCAGATTTACACCCTCTTTCTGAAGCTTAAGTCTAAATCTCTGTACTTTTATATACTGCAGATGATTCATGTAATTTCTTATTTGGATATTGAAATTTTTAAGAGATTCATTATGATATTTGCATCAACTTGTGTGTAACTTGTGGCAGATGATTTTGAAGCCAATAGTATTTCTGATGATGCTAAAGAAACTTGCAACAACTGGTTCTCCAAAATCGGTTCCATCCGTGAGCTTCTTCCGCGCATGTGACGTCTTTAAACTGCCTTCTCAGTATTAACATATTGTTGTCATTGAATGAGTTGCTAATCCTGCACATTATCAAATTTTAGGATTTTCCACTTAGAAGATGTACTGGTGTAGTAAACTATAGTCTTATTCTCCCAATCTGAATACATGGGAAGAATGATGGAACCCAAATATGATTTCTTTGATCCTTGAAAGAGGTTCATTAACTGCGGAGGATCAACCAGCATTACCTCAATTGGAATTGGCACACGAACACTTGGAACTGCCTCTCTTCTTGTCCCAAAACCTTAGTCGGGCGACTATGCTCAATAAACAGATATGCTACTTTGCCATGGGTTGATTTCAGCTGCTCTTTTGGGGAGGACAAGTAGTTTGACTTCAGTACTCAATTTGAGACTTTCATAGACTACTTGGCAGAAGTAAGCCTAGGTCCATCATTGGCTGGTAGTCTTCTACCAATATCCTTTGCTTACTGTCATTGTCCACTCCATCAAGGAGCTCTCTCATTAGGTTCTCCGTCTTATTTGAAAATCAATCTTGCAAAAGTAGCACTTTAAGTGTACCTCTTGAAATAGAGATTAGGTTATCGTGCAAGAGAAATTTCGAAAATTTCTAGCAAGATGCCCCTTCACCTTTTCTATGCACCTGTGTGTTTCAAACAACCCAAGCTTCTTTACTGTCAATTACAAGCCATATGCTAACTTGTTTAAGCCCCAATTTTATATTTCATGTCCTTGATATTACTTAAATATATACACCTCAGTGCACCATTGGTTTTAATTCTCCTTTTTAAGCACCCAAATTCAAAAAAAAAAAAGAAAAAATTATCCTGGTAAATGTCTTTTCTCCCTCCCCCACAAGAAAAAAGAACAAACAATAAAACAAATAAAATTATGGGGATGGTGAAGGTAATGGAGTCTAAAAGTACATAACTTTACTCTGTTTGAATTATCTAATACATCTTAATAGTTACAAAATTAGGGAACCTGATTTTTTTATGCTGGTTGCACCTTAAATCTGAATTTTTGTTTCTTATTTTTTTGCAAAATTAAATTGTTAAACTGATGAGGAATTGTGATAAATCCCTGAAGTACAATGATGAAAATTACCATAGAGATCATCTCAGTGTCTTTATTGTATAGAGGTTATCTCAGTGCCTTTATTGTAAATCCCTTCTGGAAAATCTGCACTCAACTTGCTTTGGTTAGTCATGTAAAAGAGTTAAATTTGATGCTTGTGAATAACTTTTAACACGACTTTCCAAGAGAAGTTGAATGTAAATTCAGGGGAAAAAAAACCTTAGGGGGTGTTGGTGGGAAGAGTTACGAAAGTAAAAGTTAATAATTTTAGTGATCTGTTTTTTGCATGTTGGTTTGTAATCATATGTGCTAACAGCTTTCATCGTCCTCATCAGCTATCTGGAACTGGCCGTACTGCCATGCTGGCGTTTCCTTGTTGACAATCCTATGAGTAGCCTCCAGCGCTTGGCCATGATGACAAGAGGCATTGCAGATCCAATAGCCTTGGCCTACTGCCACTTATATATGGTTCACCGAGCTCAAAAACTACCTCAACACGATTTAGGTATAACTACTTTTATCCAAAAACTATTTTTAATGGTGCACGTTCTTTTTACTTAAGGTTTGAAAGTACGTAAATTTCCCAAATAGAGAAAATAAGCTTTAAACTAGCAAAATATACATTATACGTCTTTTCAGTATACAATTTTCTTAAGCCGAAATCTTAATGTTTTCAGAGTTGATCAAAATCCTCTGCATATGAGTATATAGTGTATGAATAGTATGACTTGTGGCATATATATGGAGTTATACTAGAATGCGATTAGTACTCTGGATCTGACTCAAAATTATTTGAATAGATTGTTCATGCTAGTAATTTATTATACAACATAGATAGTCATTACTGTTTGAACATTCATATGTATACTTTTACATGTATTGTTCTCATTTTTAATCTCTGCACATCTAAAATTTTTGGTGTTCAGTGCCAATTCCCTTCAACTTGGTTCTTTAATGGAGGATAATAAGAAAACCTGTTAATTTTACTGCTTAAGTCCATGGGATATCTATCGAAATTGCAGTTTTATTGCCAAGCATGTTAGATGCTGCTTATTGAAAAGCTTGAAGCTAATTTTTGCTTCATTTTCCCTTTGGAACCTTGTACTTGGAAACTTTTCTGGCAAAGCATAAAGCTTAAGGGAAAAAAATTAGGACTGCTTAAGGTTGAAAAACTTATTTAGCCTATCTTTGCCTGTTCATATGGATTGTTTTCCGAACTTGGAACAAATCAATTTACAATCTTAAAAAAAATTTTCTGGACTTGGCTTCATTCTGGCCATGTGTGTTTCTATTTGAAATTAGATGTGTTTGATGAGGTATATCAAGTTTTTACTCTTAGGCTCTTACCATCTTTGATTTATTTCTCCCAATTTAAACTGCGCGTTTCGGTCTCCAACAGGATACCTTGTCACTGGCATCAATGACTTGAAATTTGTAATGATGCGCATTCTTTCACTGCAAGAAACAACTTGCATAATCTCTCTAGCAGATAGAAGGTTGCTTTTGAGCCTCATGGAACCTGCTATTGAGTATATGATGAGATGCATATTTAAGGATTTAAATCAGGTATGATTGCATGATACATATATGCATACTTGTTTGCTGGTTTTACAGTAATTTTTGGGGGATAAAAATCTTTCTGGTATTTCTAGGACCAATATTGCTTTAATATGCTGGTTAGAATGAGCAACTTGGATTTGGGAGTAGAAATTAGGTGTCAGTCATCTTGTGTAATACTGTTTTACAGAGAATGGTGTATATTTACTATTGTTCTCATGTGGAAACAATAAATTGCATTTTTTGGTAGTAATTTTTTATGAACTGTCCTGGCAATGATCTGACCGAGAGTATCACTCTTATGTTAAAAGGTTCAAGTTCGTGATGTAATTGTGGGGCTTGGACTTGGAAAGGACAAGTCACATTTATTTGGAGACTGTTCATGCATTTCAGTTATTCTTCATCATTTACTAAAGGAGCTCCCTACTGGACTAATCTGTGCTAATGCCATGAGTATTCTTCATCTGATTGAGTGCAATATTGATTTTTCATATGATCAGGTAGCTAATATTTTATTCTTGCACAATTTCTACATATCTAGTGTTCAAGTTACATATCTCTACTGTCATTTATGACACTTATCCTAGTGCAAAATTTTCACACTTTGAATGCAGTATTTGAATTACAAGTTGCTTGGACTCAGGCTGTGTGAAAACATTTCTCGAGTGAATGAGGCCATAGCTTTAGTGGATAAGGTCATTCAGGTACTTTCTTTTGATTTTTATTGTTTACATTTTACCAGAACTTCATATTTTGCATCACATGCTAACTTGCTCCCTAGGTCATCTAGAAAAGGTTATTATTAGACGTTAAGCATATTACATGGCAAATTGGAAATTTCAACTCATTAATGTGGTTCCTGTTATAACTAAAAAAGTCCTGAGGCTGCTTTCAAATTTTAATTTGCATACTAGGTTTGATTGGTTTTTTGGCAATTCGAAAAAAAAAGTATAGAGATGCAGAAGAAACTTCATTCGATGTGTCTAGATTCTACAAAATGATATGCATGAAGGGATCTAGAGTCTTACCAACCTTCAAATATCCACAATCAGGATGAGTGCAGAAATCTAGATGTATTCTCAAAGCAATATCTCATTACATGTTATGTATGAAAATTGTAAATTTTTATGAAGAAATTTCCTTAATGTTCACTGTTCATGATTTGTTTGTTATGTCTTCAGGTCATTTCTTGCTATGATAGACTACATGAATATTTGGAGGTTTTAGATGCTTATGTGGATATTGTTCTGCATAATCAAATGGTAAGTTGCCTGTATTGCAGTTCAGCATGTTGACATTGCAAAATTTTTCTTGCTTATATTTCTAATTGGTTTACTTATGGCCTGACAAGAGGTGCATTTATTTTGCTCCATAGTTTTAAGTTTGCTTATGTTTATGGATCTTGAAGATTTGAATATAGAGCGTGTGAGGATCTCCCATACAGTGCTATAGGTACATGTGAAGTAACCTAGTGATGTACTCTTCCTGGTCTTAAATGCTCAAGTCTAAGTTTGTAATGGTATATTGTCCTGGTAGAGACCAGTCTAGTGCACTTAGTTTGTCACACATAGATTACCTCCAGAGCCTGCTCTGATACCAACACTAATGTCCAAAGTGGAATGCCAATCAAGTAACTGTTGGAGGCTAATGGATAGAGCCAATACACTTACATCACCAAATTATTTATTTATTTTTTACATGTTGAGCCTCTCATTGTTTATAACTATTCAAATGTTTAAAGACAAATTTCAAGCATGTGTTCTAATTGTGGATTATATGAAATACTCACTGTCCTGTAACTTAAGGTTTGCACTAAAAGTAAAAATTTGAGCATGTATATTACCTTTTAAGCAGACTGAAGAGACTTTGCTGTAGTTGACCTTGTCTTTCTTGATGTTGCAGCACATTTATTTGAACACAATATTGAATGAAATATTTGAGCGATTATGTGCTAAAGGGATTGATAAGAATGCTCTATCAGGCTTGCAGTCTTTCCTTTTGAAGCTCGTTACTCATTTTGATCATTTGGAAGATATATTATCACTGGTATATTGCTCATTAAACTTCTGCTTCTGCTCCCTCACTCTGCCCATCAGCTTCAATTTGATTTTGATTAAGAAGTGGCTACTAATTAAAAACTAGTAAATAATTGGTAAGATTGCCTGTTTCACAGTTGCTGTGGATTGTTAAATATCTATAATTGACTCAGATATAATAAATTTGCAGAGCCATTTTGTTGACATCTTAGACGTGATGCACGGAAGCTCAAGGAACATCATCAACATTAGCATCCTTAGAATGGCAACAAGGTATTGGTTTATGTCAGTCACATTAAAATTGAACTTTCTTCAAAACGTTGTGGGCACTCTTTCAAGCCAGCCACCAATATTCTCTCGGTTTCACGGGAAAGTAAGTTGGATTCTTTTTCTTTAAAAGTTTAGCATAGGCTGGCATTATTGCCAGAGCAAAACCTTTCCTGCCAGAGTAATTTTCATCTAAATGCTAGAAATACCCCTATAAAAGTCAACAACAGCTTGCTGAATTTTGCAGACCTGACAAAGCTGCCTTCTCCTTTTCTTACCCATTCCATTCTTGAATTTCTATGCTTAATAAAACCACCTAATTGCAGTTAAAAAGCCACTCAACAGAGCCACCAACAACCACAACACCACTGTGGTACTCCAGTTTTCACCTGGAAACAAAACAAAAAATTTGATGACAAAATTTTGTTTTTAGAAGGTGTCTACTCCTAACTTTTTAATCTTCAATTATATCAGACAAAGAGCTTTTAAAAGTTCTGGTTTGGGGTGACAGTGATATTGAGGAGAGAGATTGGAAAAGGGAGTTTATAGTACTAGAAAATAGGTGGATTAAAGGGAGGGATAAGGTGGCTAAGAGATTGTAACCTGTTTGAGACATGGAGTGACCTTTCTTTGAGGGGTGAAGGGGTTAGACCAGAGGGTGCTTGGTGAAGGAGCCACTGAGAAATTAGAGGGATTGGGTGCAAAAGTCTCAGGCATAGATGAGGTAGAGGGGAAGACAGCAAAAAGCTACCATGGACAAGGAGGACATGGAAGTTGGAATTCAATGGAGAGAGAGTAAGAGAGAGAGAGAAGAATGTGATGCTGAGCCATGAGCACTGGTTTTCCTTCAAAGGGATAGTCTAGGTATTCAGGTCAGCATTGCTCTGGCAAAAAAATTTTTGTGCTGGCAATATCGCCAGCCCTTAGCATACTGAAGTACTTAACCTCTTCACCTGGTCAATGGGTGCCATGTGTGCTATATAATGCGGTGACTTTTTAAAATTTTGTAACTTCCGGTGCTTATTGCTGCTTAAAAGAATTTACTGGTCTTCATGCGTAAGATGTGGTGACTAAAGTTTCCAACTACTGCCCAAGTTGAATGGGACATTCACTTTTGGAGTTTGCTGGCATAGGTTGATTGGGAGATTCACTTGTTTAGTTGAAAACCTACTACATCCTAATTTTGACATAATGTCAAACAGAGCTGATCATATTTCTTTTGTATCTGAAAAGAAGCCTCAAGATCAATTTGGAAATGTCTTCTTCTAAAATTTGAGAGAGAAGAAAGCGAAGTAGTGTTACTATTGCTTCTTATTCTGGAAATCTGCTGACTCGGTACCTTTTGTATATGTGGCAGGAACACTTGCATTGACGATCCAACTATCATTCATTTTCTGTTTGAAGTTTCTCAGGTGTTGCATGATGGGACAGACTTCTCAAACATAAGAAATGATGAAAATCAACATTCAGCACGCCTAATTTCTCGTTTTGTGAACATGGTAGGATAAATTCTTCTCAGGCTCCTGCCAAGTAAAAAATATACAGCTGCACTTATATATTTTAATATAGAGATGTTTTACACTTTCAGGTTGATTATGGGCGAGATTTTGAACGCAATTTGTCATTTCTGGTTGATTGCCGCGGAGCCTTTGGTGACATGATTGAACTCAAGGTTCTCTATCCATTTATGTTTGCCAAAAAGGAAAAGAAGATGATTAAGAGATTGTGCTATTTATGTTTATGATGTGAGTGTTTGGAAAAGATTAGTTTCACTTCCACTGCTTGGATTTGGCATTTTGCTCAACCTGAAATTCAGTGAACAGAAGTCTAGCAAAAATTAGCACACTGAAGTTTGTTGTATGCGTCTTCCCTACTAATCTAAGATGGACTCAGTGTCGCTCATCATTAATTTGTCTCTTTTGTCCTCTCCTCTCTCTCTCTCTCTCTCTCTCTAATAATTTTCTATTTTTTGTGTTTGTGGAAACATGCTGTCAGAGACAAAATTATACATACACTGGTTGGACTGGACAATCCAATGGCATCTGCCACCAGTTTTGTGTTTGTGTACTTTATGTGCTGATTATATGTGCTTTTCCTCTTTGAATGCATATGAAACAGCATATGTTCATTATGTATTCCCTTTTTGGTAATTGGTGTATGATGTAGAATTGCTTGGTACAAGTCTAAGTAGTGGCCTGTAAGATACGAAATTACATGTAAGATTCCTTGGTTGACTTGCAGGAGACGCTTGTTCACTCCAGCAATCTTTTATCCATTAAGCTTATGAAAGAGAGCAGTAATCTTTTCGCTTTTGCCAAATCTTGCCTAACATTTAGTGAAGTTACAATAGCTGCTATTCCTGATTGCTTTAGGCGGTTCAGTCTCTATCTTGAAACAGCAGAGGTACTGATTTGGGTCTTTCTTTCTAGTTAAGGTAATATTATTGGCAGATGCATATATCATTTGGTGTACATTGCCTTCTGTATCTATCAGGTTGCTTTGATGGGTGGATTAGTTTCTCATGCAGATGGACTTATAGATTCAGCGCTCTGCTATTTGCAGGACTTTGATTTAGTGGATGGTTAGTTCATTCTCTTAATTGTACTGGTTGAATGTATCATTGAAATAATTGCAGGGAAGTCTACTTTTTTTCCCCTTTACTATTTTTGGTCTTTTCTTATTTGGCCCGACAGCTCTAAATGATAGATCTATAGACGGTAAAAGGATAGAAATTTATTTTCATTGGTCATTTCTCTCTCTCTTTCTTGGTGGTTTGTGTTTGTGCAATGCATAGCTGAGTTACTTGGTTAAGGTATAAAGACTTATCTACCAAATATTTGGAATTTATTCTGTTTATCATGTTTTTTCCCTGATATATGTTTTTTGCTTTTATAGGATTAGATATCCATTTAAATCTGCGCAACTCTTCTTGTAGGTTTGCGGACAACTAACGATACTGAAGCAAATCTTTCCTTGATATGCAAGCTATGCAATCTCATGATTGTGGTCCCAGGTTTGATTTACCTTATGAATTTTCTTCTTACAGAAATCTATTTGTTGTCTACTGAATCTGCCTAGGCTTTTTTTGCTTTATTTGGTTGGTGTATTTACAAGTTGATGCCACTAAATGCATGAATGGTCGCTGAATATAAGTACAGTGAGTGTGATTAAATAAGGGGGTGACATCTAAAATTTAGTGCTTATCCTCTTTGGTGGAGGGAGGAAGGCACCTACTATACTTAGACTTAAGATCTCATGCTTTTCTCCCATGCCATCACATGTCATGGTGGGGCCTTCTTCCTACCACTGTTACCTGCACATCTCAAAGAACAGGAAGTATTTTGAGCTGATTACCTTGTTAAAATTGAATATGTTTTTGATTTACACTAACAATTTTAAGCTATTGTACCTGTTAGTTTTCATCTAAAATTTTGTTTTCTAACTTTTCTTCATTGTTTAGAATGATAGGTCCATGACCACTGAATGTTTACATATGTGAATGTATGTTAAAGGGAAATTAGCTGATTCTGTTTTACAGTAATAGCTGGAAGAATTTGTAGTATGTGAGTGGAGCACTTCATATATTGAAATGATGAGAGAGGAAGACAGAGAAGACTTCTGATTTTGTCTCATGTTTTTTTGGTATTTTTACTTGGTTCTATTAATATTTTTTCAGGTAATGTTGAACAAGGATTCTTGGATGGCCCCAAGAAAATATTTTCTTTCCTCGATTCCCAACCATGGTAAGGGCTTCCAACTGTCTTGTATACTTATGTACAGTGTGGACATTTCATTACTGCTCTGTCCTATTATTGCAGGATGACCTCAAAATTAAAGATCAAGGGGATGTGCGCTCTTATTTCAATTTTAGCAGCATTTTCCCAAAATGCAATACCCTTACAATTAATACCTGGGAAGGTATTTTGTTACTTTACTCAAACTATTGTAACTCTTTCTGCCCTATGTTCATGTCAAATTGAAACTGAAATGGTTGAGGATAACACCTTAAAATGTAAATTGAGCTCTGCTATTGTTATTTAGTTTTGCATTTGTGTAGAAATAGTTGGGTTGAGATTGAAATATTAAAGCCAGTTCCAATTATGTCTCAAAACTTGCAATCTGCAGTTCCAATTATGTCTTTAAAGTCACAACCTTGATATCACCTAATGGAGTTCACCAAAACATGCCCATATGATTTTGCATTCGAGTTCCTTCTTTTTATCTGATTGATTTATGTGTTATATGCATATGCTTTACACTGTGGTCTGAGCTAATAGTGATTTATTATACAACCAGGTAATAGGCAATCATGAGTTAATTTATGGTGATCCAACTTGTTCAGAAGAAATTTTGTCATTTTCTCGTGCTATTATTGAGAAAATTGTGGATATTGTCTTACAAGAGCCTTCACAGGTAACTTGACATCTTCCCTCCCTTTATACTTCCTCTCTGCTTTCTAGTTGTTTCTTCCTTCCATTTTGCTTGTAATTAGTAAGGAAAGTCCATGGAGATGTTATTTGATCCATCACAACCATTCTCATCTTGTAACTCTTTATTCTTTGTTTTAGGCTACTAGTGGAAATCTTGCACTTGAAGGTTGCAGCTCCATAGCTTCATCATTTAGAGTAAGTCGAGCATCATTTGCTGGTTTCTGTGTGACAAACAAACCATTTGATACGAGATATTCTAAGTTACTTCAGTAGTTGTAATGAGGGGGAATTGATAGAAAAGGGCAAGGATCTGTACAACATTAGAGTTGCTGAAGAATATTCTCTTAGTACAGTATCTTGTTTTCCTTGTTCCAATTTTTTTCTCTTTTTAACTCAAAATTATTGGAAGAGAGAAAATGAGGTAGAATCTTGTCTTACCCTAGCATTTAATCTTCCTCAACTCAGAGATGTCTCTTGTCACAAGTCTTCTGTGGCTATATAAATATTTGAGTTGATATAATAACTATTTTCGTGCTCGAGGGCTTATTACATTTTAGCATGAAAAGAATTTGATTGCCAGAATACAATGCTTTGATTTTTAAGTGGACGAATGTTGTTTCAGTTACACTGATTAGTGTCATGTTTAATTTCAATCATGTTGCTCTTTGGTGTTGTCTGCTGGTTATTTTGATATCTCATTGTTGTAAGTGGTTCTTCCTTTCATCTTTTATGTTTCTGAGCCTGCTCTGCTTATTCGGACAGGTACGCACAGACATACTCACAATCTGCTCCAGACTGTTGGAAATAGCCGAGTTAAGCCTGAGTTCTGATGATAGATATTTGGTGTCTACCAAAAACTTTGTAAATACGTGCCAACTTTGTTGTCAGGAGGATGGACATTTGCAGAATTCAGAAAGCATGACTGGTTAGACTTTTTGGTGCAAAGGTTTGTGTAGTTTTGTATAGTGTCTTTGTTGTAGGTATGTAATGGTATCGAACAGTAGCCAGGCAACAGACCAGCTCCCAGTGGCAGGTTTATGAACAGCACAGAACTAATTTACCAACAGGAAGAACCAATATGAACTGATGAATAATCAATGAATTAGTATTGATATTGATTGAAAATAGAAGATTACAGAGTTGGCGGAAATAAGAAAGGAAATGAAAGATTGAAGGAAAACAGAAGAGAAAGAACCAGGGAATGATCCCTTACAACTTGACTAACAAAATGATAATCCTTTCCACTACTGATCCTATCTTTATATAGAGTTAACTAATAGCCCGCTCCTCTGATGCTTCCCAATCCAGCTCATCCATGTGAGGGATAACAGAAATCTGTTGGAGAGCCACTTGCTCAGAAACTCACGTTGCTTGAGCTTGTTCCCAGAAAAGGCGTGATTTGTTTCCCACGCCTCCACCTTCAATCTTCTTTGTTTCTCACGTCTTCTTACTTAATAAAAGCGTGTTGCCAGAATCCACGCCTTCCGCCTGTTGTAGTTACTTACTTAAAGGCGCGCTTCTTTGTTTCACGTCTTTAGCTTCTGTTTCATGACAATTGCTCCTCCTTCAATCAATCTTGTCCTCAAGATTGAAATTCAGGGAATTCCTTCCTTATCTTCTCTGCGTCTTCCCAAGTAGCTTCAGCAGGAGTAGTTCCCCACCAGTGAATGAGCCACTGCACTGTTGTTGCATTTCTCTTCTTGATGCTTCTGCGATCCAGAATTGTTGCTGGTGTCACCCTCAAATGTCCTTTTTCGTCTAAGTTTGGTAGCTGGAGCACTGGAGTTGTATTTCCTCCTACCTTTTTCTTTAGTAAGGATACATGAAACACAGGGTGTACCTTGGATCCATCAGGTAGCTTAAGTTTGTATGCTACCTCTCCTATTTTCTGAACTATTTGATAAGGGCCAAAATATCTAGCTGACAGTTTGGTGTTGCTCCTCAACTCCACAGACATTTGTCTATATGGCTGTAATCTTAAGTAGACCCAATCCCCTACCTGGAATGATCTTTCACTTCTATTTTGGTCAGCATAAAACTTCATTCTGTTCTGGGCTTCTTGCAAGTTGGTTTTGAGAATTCCATCCATCCTCTGTCGATCCTTCAGATGGTCCTCCACTGCTGCTACTCTAAGGTGTAAATAGGGACCTACTGCCAGTTGAGGAGGAGCCATTCCATACAATGCCTCGAATGGACTCATCTGAATAGTTGTGTGGTAGGTAGTGTTATACCACCATTCAGCAAGGGAGAGCCATGCATTCCATCTTCTTGGCTCCAAATGTGTCATACATCTTAAGTACATTTCCAGCACTTGGTTGACCCTCTCGGATTGGCCATCTGTTTGGGGATGATAGGCTGTGCTTAGCTTCAAATCCGTACCCAACAAAGTGAAGAGTTCAGTCCAGAATTGACTGGTGAACACCTTGTCTCTGTCAGATAGCATGCTTAAAGGAATTCCATGCAGCTTGCAGATGTGATCCAAAAAGAGTCTGGCTACTGTAGGGGCATCAAAAGGATGTGAAAGGCTGATGAAATGTGCTGATTTGGTGAGTCTATCCACCACTACCATAATAGTGTCCCTCTTCTCTGATATTGGCAGGCCTTCGACAAAATCCATTGTGACATGACTCCATGAGTACTGAGGTATAGGAAGAGGTTGCAGGAGTCCAGGATAAGCAACGTGCTCATCCTTGCATTTTTTGCATGTGTCACACTGCAAAATGGTATCCTTGATATCCCTGTGCATCCCTGGCCAGTGGAACAGCTGCTTGGCTCTTAAGTAGCTAGCCTGAATTCCAGAATGACCTCCAAGTTGTGAACCATGTATTGCAGCAATGATTTTCTTCCTCACATCTCCCTTTGAGCCAACTACTATCTTTCCTTTGTATCTGAGCACTCCATCCTGATAAGAGTGTTCTGATGGATTACTAGGAGTGAGCAATAACTGTCTGATCAGGTTCTGTACTTCTTCATCCCCTTGGTAGCTACCTATAACCTCCTTCATCCACTCTGGAATGACACATGTCAGCTCAGTACAATCTCCTTCTTCTCTGCTTGCCCTCCTGGATAGAGCATCTGCTGCTACATTTTCTTTCCCTTTTCTGTATTGGATCTCATAGCTTAGTCCTAGCAGTTTGGTGAGCCATTTCTGCTGAAGTGTTGTCGTGACTCTTTGGTCTAGGAGGTACTTAAGACTCTGATGGTCAGTCTTAATAATGAAATGACTCCCCTCCAGGTAGTGCCTCCATTTAGTGACAGCAGTTACCAAGGCCAACAATTCCTTTTCATAAATGGACATTCCCAGGTTCTTGGGACCCAGGCTTTGGCTCATGAATGCGATTGGCCTTTTATTCTGCATCAGTACTGCTCCAATTCCTCCATAGCAAGCATCAGTTTCCACTTCAAAAGGCTTGGTGAAATCAGGTAAGGCTAGCACGGGTGTGCTGCACATTGCCAGTTTGAGCTTCTGGAAGGCCTCCTCTGCTTCTGTATTCCAGTGGAAGCCATCTTTTCTTAGCAATATGGTAAGTGGCTTTGCAGTAGCTCCATATCCCTTGACAAATTTTCTGTAATACCCTGTTAAACCCAGAAATCCCTTGAGCTCCTTGACAGAAGCTGGCTTAGGCCATTTCATCATACTGTCCACTTTCTTTGGATCTGCCCTTACTCCTTCTCCTGAGATAATGTGGCCAAGGTATTCTACTTCAGTTTGTGCGAAGGAGCATTTACTCCTCTTGGCATACAGTTGATTTTCCTGCAATATGTTTAGTACTTCTGCCACCTGCTGCAGGTGCACTTCCAGAGAGGGACTGTAAATCAGTATATCATCAGTAGTGGAAAGGATTATCATTTTGTTAGTCAAGTTGTAAGGGATCATTCCCTGGTTCTTTCTCTTCTGTTTTCCTTCAATCTTTCATTTCCTTTCTTATTTCCGCCAACTCTGTAATCTTCTATTTTCAATCAATATCAATACTAATTCATTGATTATTCATCAGTTCATATTGGTTCTTCCTGTTGGTAAATTAGTTCTGTGCTGTTCATAAACCTGCCACTGGGAGCTGGTCTGTTGCCTGGCTACTGTTCGATACCATTACAGTGGTATCAGAGCTAGCTACAAGCCATTGGGACATGACTAAAACTCAGGAGGAAGCTCTGAGAAAGGAGCTCACTGAGTTGGGGAGTGTGGTGAGGACTTTTGCCAATAAGAATGATGGGGTAGAACAGTCTGTAAGGGCAATGGAGCATAGGCAGGAGAGCACAGATAGAGCCATAAAAAATTTAGATCAGAAATATGAGGGGATGATGAACATGATGGCTCAGATCATGGCCAAACTAAACGACAAGGGGAAGGAGGTAGAAGGGGGTAGTTCTAGGAATGAGGCTAGGATAGCAGTTACCACAGATTTAACTGAGAAAGGGGGAAGTAAAGGGGGAGCCAGACTACCAAGGATGGACTTCCCTGCGTTTGATGGAAATAAACCCAGAGAGTGGGTTAGAAGAGCAAACAAATACTTCCAGATCCATGAAGTGGAGGAAGGCCTGAAATCAGACATTGCTCAACTCCATTTCCAGGAGAAGGCAGACATCTGGTTCCATGGCATGTACCACGAGAAGGGGACAGTTCCATGGAGAGAACTAGCAATGGCGGTTTGTGAAAGGTTTGGGGAGGGAGATCCAGAGGAGGCCATAGAGGAATTTAACAAGCTGATGCAGACAGGGAGTGTCACTGAGTACCTGGAGAAGTTTGAACAACTGAAATCTATGGTAATGTTATCTCTCCCTGGTCAACCTGATTCATATTACAAATCGTGTTTTCTTAGTGGTTTAAAGGAGGAAATAGTAAGTATGGTTAGGATGACCAGACCCCTCACCTTAGCAGACACCATTGAAGCTGCTAAGTTGCAGGAAAGGAACCTGGAAGCTGTTAGGAAAACAGAAGAGAAAGAACCAGGGAATGATCCCTTACAACTTGACTAACAAAATGATAATCCTTTCCACTACTGATCCTATCTTTATATAGAGTTAACTAATAGCCCGCTCCTCTGATGCTTCCCAATCCAGCTCATCCATGTGAGGGATAACAGAAATCTGTTGGAGAGCCACTTGCTCAGAAACTCACGTTGCTTGAGCTTGTTCCCAGAAAAGGCGTGATTTGTTTCCCACGCCTCCACCTTCAATCTTCTTTGTTTCTCACGTCTTCTTACTTAATAAAAGCGTGTTGCCAGAATCCACGCCTTCCGCCTGTTGTAGTTACTTACTTAAAGGCGCGCTTCTTTGTTTCACGTCTTTAGCTTCTGTTTCATGACAAGGTATCATCTTCCAGAATCATAGATTTCTCTTTCACATTGAAAGAGTGAGTTCTTGTTTCAGTTATCAGAGTTTCGTGGTATAGGAGAATGTTGTAGCCTTAGCAGTAGGTTTTCTGAAGGAAATAGCCTTAGCAGTAGTTAGCTCATGACATTTATTTACAAGGGTTGTTCTGGCTGTAAATGCTCGACTTCGGGGGAAGAAAATCTCCATTTGTTTCTGCACTTTCTTCCCCCTGTTTTTCTAGTCTTTCATCCCTCTTGGGGGCAGATAAATACTTCGCCTTTCTTTTACTTTTTTCTTGGGGGCGGGGGGTGTGGTTTGTACATGGTGGCCTTGGAGCCATTGAGAATGGGCTTCTTTTTTTTTTTTTTCGGAGACGACAACTGTCGTATAACCTAATTTATTCTACACTAAGGGAGAGGGGGCGGATCTAAGGAGGCCCAGAGATAACCCCAAGGGGATTGAACTACCACCGGACCAAAACGGGTGCACAACTAGAGAATGGGCTTCTTGATGCTGAAAATTTTCGTGCCTTGTATGGACTAATATCCATGTACTGTATAAAGGAAAATTCTAGTTGTGCCTGCATGAAATTTTTCAAATTTTGAGCAAAGAGAGATGCCGCATCTTTCATTAAGATTTATCTCTAAGACCCAACTCAATTAAGAAGGATATTGACTAGGTAATCATCAGGTTTTTAGCTTAGCTCCCAAGCTCTCTCATTTCTCCTCTTCCCTTTGTAAGGCACTAAGGCGTAGAATCCCTTCCAAACCGAAAAGAAAATAATCTTTCAATATAGATTTGGAGATAATGGC